TCCAATACTTTGGCCACCTGATGCGAAGAGCTGACTCATTGGAAAAGACCCTGATGCTGGGAAAGATTGAGGGCAGGAGGAGAAGGGGACGACAGAGGATGAGATGGTTGGATGGCATCACTGACTCAATGGACATGGGTTTGTGTGGACTCCGGGAGTTGGTGATGGACAGGAGGCCTGGCATGCTGTAGTTCATGGGGACACAAAGAGTTGGACACGACTGAGTGACTGAGCTGAACTGAACTGAGTGCAGCACTTTCACAGCATCATCTTTTAGGATTTGAAATAGCTCAGCTGGAATTCCATCACCTCCACTACCTTAGTTCATAGTGATGCTTCCTAAAGCCTACTTGACCTCGCACTCCAGGATGTCTGGCTCTCGGTGAGTGATCACACCATCGTGGTTATCTGGGTCATTAAGATCTTTTTTGTGTAGTTCTTCTGAGTGTTCTTCCCACCTCTTAATATTTTCTGCTGTTAGGTCCATACTGTTTCTGTCCTTAATTGTGCCATTCTTTGCATGAAATGTTCCCTTGGTGTCTCTAATTTTCTTGAAGCCATCTCTAGCCTTTCCCATTCTATTGTTTTCCTCTATTTCTTTGCATTGATCACTTAGGAAGGTTTTCCTATCTCTCCTTGCTATTCTTTGGAATTCTGAATCCAAATGGGTATATTTTTCCTTTTCTCCTTTGCCTTTTGAAAATATAAATATGTTTATATTTTATCTTCCCCAAATCTTGTGAAAATGGCAGAGATTACGACAAATATGGGGCTTCCCATGTGGCGCTAGTGGTAAAAATCCTGCCTGCCAATGTCAGAGACATAAGAGAGGCAGGTTTGATCTCTGGGTGGGGAAAATCCCCCAGAAGAGGCAACCCACTCCTCCACTCCAGTAATCTTGCCTGGAGAATCCCATGGACAGAGGAGCCGCGCAGGCAGCAGTCCATAGGGTCACAAAGAGCCGGACACAACTGAAGCGACTTAGCATGCACACACACGCATAACAAATATGATTAAGTTCATGGCATATTACACTCTTTATCACAAATAATTTATTTCCTCTCCATTAGACCATAATCCACAAGAGCAGTACTTCTGCAAGCATTTAGAAAAATAATATACCCTCAAACTGTCTCCAGACAGTAAACCTAAAAAAACAATGCAGTAACATCTATAGAGCTTTGAAGGAAGTAGGATGTGACCAAAAAGATTCCAAGTTTTCATTTTGGCTTATGTGCAGATAAACAAACAAACAAACAAAAGCCACCCAAATACTTCAGTTGAGTGATAGGAGACATGTGAACAAAGAGACAAGATAAGGAGGAGGCACCGTGGAACCTTTACATTCTTGAAACCACAGAAGATAAGCCAAGAACACAAATGGCAGAGGATGAGCTGAAGCCCGACTCTGCAGACACCACTCCAATTTGTGCTAATGGTATTAAAATCCACAATCAAATTAAATAAGCAGTAACTAGAGGCAGGCCAACCCATCCAACTAACTCCTCTTGGGGATTGGGGAGGGATATGGGAGAGAATTTTTGCAGTGGGTGAAGAGTGAAAAGCAGAAGAGATGGGCTTGGGTTGTAAATCAGCAGGAGGATCATGCTCAACCTGCAGCCTCAAGGATTTCTTGGGGCCTGCACACCTGTCATCTCTCCTGCTCGTGTGGTTGTTGCAAAGAAAGCAGATGTTCTTGCCTCCCCTATTCCTTCTGATCTTTTTCACTATTTAGGAAAAACCTTAGGATTCGGAAAAGAGAGCTCGCTCTCCAGGTGTGGTGATAATGGCAGGCTGCTGTGGTCACTGAACTTCCTCTGTTGCCCTACCTTTTACTCTTACTGCTGCCAAAGAGAGTCTGGCCCACCCAAAAGGGAGAAAATACATAGATGGGAGAGATGACACCATAGGTGGAAAATGCCAGCTGGGGGAAAATAAATTTAGAGCCTTCTTGCACACCATACACCAAAATTAATTCCACATGGATTAAAGAGTTAATAACAATAATGGAACAAGATTTCTGTAGAAAAATACTAGCTAGTATTTATATCATTGTTGGATGAGAAAATTTTCCTAAGCAAAAAAGTAACAGAAGAAATCATAACAGGAAACTCAGTAGCTAGGATGCCATAAAAATTTTTAACTTTGTTATAGTCAAAAAAGCATTGAAAAATTAAAAGCAAATTACAAAATAAGAAAAAATATTTGCAACATTTATAAAACCAAGAGCTAATACTAACTTTATAAAACGGTTTTATAAATTAACAAGAACAAACAATACAATAGGGGGAAAAAAAGCAAATGCTATGAATAGATATACAAGATCACACAAAGGAAAGACCAAAGAAATTAAACTGAAGCAATTAGATGCTATTTTTTCACTGTTAGAAAAGACTGACATAAATGATATTATATTATGGTGCCAAAGATTCTATCAACTGCATAACCTCTCATCCTGCCGGTGGTGTATCCTTTCTAGAAGAAAACTTGGTGTAGATGACAGTAATCCTAAAAATGTGCATCTACTTTGATCTAGCAATTCTATTTTTGGGTGTTTATCCTAAGGATACAATCAGGGAATTTTTTTTTT